TTACAACCAAAATAACAATTTTCATGACAAAATATTAGTAAGATACTTATATACTTTGATGCAAATTTGTACTTACAATATTAATAGAACTTTCTTGTTAGAAACTATAAACCTTAAAAACTCTAATCACTAAATCATAAACCTAAACTTTATCAGAAATTACTCATGGAAAAGAAATTATCTGTCGAAAAAAAAAAGCTATTCATTGTCCCCCATCCGATGCATTGTGCCAATTATAACAATTTTATCAACAATATAAGTCTCCCAAAAAAAACTATTGTGATGTGATATACAAACCAATTAAAGATCAGACATCACAAATAAAAATCAATAAACAACATCATAGCTAATTAGTACTATGTCTAACATAAACAAATAAAACTAATTTTGAAATAAAACTATTTGTAAATGACGAACAAATAACTACGATCCACCCCACCAACGCAAATCCACACCATCACATCATTTTTCCTTCCATTAAAGGTTTCCATATCCGCATCAAACCCGTCGATGGACATATATTGCATATCTCTTAAGCAACACAACTTCTCAATCGAACTAATTGTCGAGAGATATATCTGCCACCGTCGCTTTGCATGGGTATACCACTAGTATATATATATATATATATATATATATATATATATATATATATATATATATATATATAAAACATGTGATGTGCAATTTGAACCGCGATTTTATAAATACAACCCGCAAACCACACCACATTGTTCGGTTTGATAAAACGATGAACTGCAAACCTTACCACAGAATTCTAAACCGCATTATGCGGTGTGATGCGGATGGTTTGTGCGGTTTTTTGTTCATTCCTAATCGTAATCACTTATTCTAACCTATTAATATGTTGGTATTAAAGTAAGTAGTTAGAACAAAAATACATATGTTTGGTTTTAGAATAATATAATTAAAAACAATACTAAAAATATAAGAAGTGGTACCTATGATTTTAAGTTGTGTTCGATTTTTACTTCATAGAATAGAAATCATCTAAAATTAGCAATCTAACAATTTTTAAGAAAATCATGGTATTCCGAATACGTGTTTTAACAATTATCATTGACGGGATGCAATCATGGGTCGTTTACGTTTAAAAAGAAAATTAATGGTTATTTTTCTTGCTCAGTATTTATTCTAGAAATGTTGCTAATTAAATGATAAAATAACTATTTCAGAATATCTATTACAATTAAACACCTTTTTATACTCTTAGAAATTTTGTTTAAATTATTCGTGAATTATGTCAAATTCATGTTCTTTTTTAGATGTGACGAATATAAGATTTGGACACTAATTTATAACTAAACTTGGATGATATGCCGAGTTGTTGGCATAAAGTGCGAGTTATTGGAAAAATACTCTATAAATCATTAAATGAAGTTGGAAGTTGTATAAATCATAAAACTTGTAGTGTTGTATAAAAGCTGAAATTATAAGTATAAATTAACCTTAGAAGTTCATGTTTGTTACTTGTAGGAGTTCCACAACGCAACAGATTTGCAACGCTAGGGGCAACATTGTCGAGGTAAGTTTCATTTGAATTTTTAAGGGGACTTATTGCGTTAAATTTATTGAACTTTAAATATTCTTACTGCTTACACCATGTTGTTGGAAATTGCATGTTGTACACTTTTAAATTGCAAAAGCTTTATTTGTTGTAAATTCTCATATGTGGTATATTAAGTACACATTATGGCAACCAATCTTTACACTTAATTTTTGTATGCAGATTCTCGGTTTTAATGGACATTAACGATGATTTTAAAAGCGAGATTTTGTTGTGAGTCATTTTATTTTTACTTTTGTAAGCATGTTTGTCTATAGATTATGTAATTAGTTATTATGTGAGTGTGTGATTTTGTGATTTTGTTTTTTTAGGTTGACAAGATACCTTCTTGATTACTTCAGGAAATTTGGGTTCATAAGAGCCACTCACAATTTTGCCAAGCTAGCAAACATTGATCTCGAACAACGTATATATATCTTCACCTTTTACATTATTTTTTATTCTTGTTCGTCGTAAAGTGATTTGGGATCTTGATTAATGTGTTCTTTCGTAAATATTTATTGGTCTTTTGGGGTTGGTGTTTCGTGGGCTATGAAATGTTACCTTTGTTTTCTTCTTAAATAAACAAGAAAGATCATAGACGCTTTTTTGGTTATTTTATTGAAACGATAATCTTTTTTCTTCGAGAAAATTACACGAATGGTCCCTATGGTTTAGGTAATTTGTGCTATTGGTCCATAACTTCTTTTTTAACTCGGAAGGTTTTTACTGTTTGTTTTTGTTAACCCGTTTGATCCCTGTCTTACCTAAAAAGACTATTTTTCCCTTGATCTTTTTAATTTATTTAAATAAACATACCCCTAACCCTAACCGCAACCCCACCCCACCCCACCCCTTCACCGTACCTTACATACCCCATCATTTTTTTCTATTTAAATAACAGTCTTTTTAGGTAAGAAAGAGACCAAACGTGTAATAAAAATAAACATTAGGAACCAAGCGTGTAACAAAAATAAACAGTAGGGACATTCCGAGTTAAAAAATTAAGTTAGGGACCAAACGCGCATATTACCCCAACCATATGGACTATTTGTGTAATTTATTTATTTTTTTCTCAGAGTTATATGATTTTATGATTCCTTTTAATTTTGGTAGCACTAGATGGAACATTGTTGAGATGTTGGGAGGTGTACTCGAATAATAGAACCAATAATGCGGATTATTGGACCTTTTTCTAGCATACAACCCTGAAAGAACTGAAAGAACACACTTTTACGGTGATCTCTTAGAAAAACTAGTTTTTTTTTCTAAAGCTTTGATTTGTGTTTCTAAAATCTCATATTTCTTATGTAATCTTACAAAGGTGATTTGTTATGCATATTTCAGGATAAAATTGTTGTAAAAATTGATGGATTTAACGATTCTTGTTGTAGTCATAACTGACAATAAGATGATATTGATTTTAATTATTCATAGATTGCATTTACCCCTTCGACAAGTTGGTGATATGCATTCAGGTGTAAGAACATTTCTGGACAAAGGTTTGTATAAATTAGAGTTTCATTTATACTTTTTTTTTCATCTTGTATTGCATGGCAAATGGGGCCTAAGTGACTTAATGGTACTCTTAACTACATTGTGGTTGCCAATTTGAGTTTCATTTATATTTATATTTTTTCATTTTGAACATATTTGGTGCACGTTGCATATTATCATGCTACTAATGATTTATGAATTGATCAAGAGATTTTTACTTTTCAGGCATGATCTACCATGACCGTGTAAAACGAATTTTATATCGGATGTGAGTCTTTTGGTTTTATACTTGATGATTTATGCAAAAAATACTTGGTTTTATTGCTAAAGACAAGATTTTGATGCGATTCAATGTATTTTATATTTGTAAGCATAGTCGTTGTAGATTATGTGCAATTAATTATGTTTGTGTGATTTTCTTTTTGACAGGCTCAAAAGATACTTTTACGATTATTACTTTGGAAGATGTGTGGGTGAATTTATTGGTGGTACTAGGTTATAACCCGTGGACACCACGGATGAGACATGTAAAAATAATTTTAATTATATTTTAAGGTAATTATTAAACAATGATAATAAAAAATTTAATAATTTATAAATATAGATGTTTTGTTAGTAAGTTCATAATGATATTCACTATTATGAATATCCAATTTATATTTTGTATGCTTAGAAATTTGATAAAATCATGAATTTTTATGATGCAATATACAATTGAGTATAATGAAAAAAACATAATAAATCATGGAAATGACATTGATATATGTCAAATTAACCGTGACAAACGTGACGATAATGTAATAAACATAAATAAATACAACACAATAAATTATAACTTAAAATGATGAATGAAGTGTGATTTATTATAAGTAAGTAAAAGATGCTATTGAAAATTAAAATAACATAGATAATAACAAAAACATAGTTGTTAATCATAAATTTGTAAAAGCTTACTTGTATACAACATTAGATGCTCTCTTAGTACATGAACCATCTTTATCTATAATTAATATTTTTCTTTTTCCTACAATGAGTGAATACTTTGTCTTAGAAATAAACCAACCTTATTACTTTTATTTATTGTTATTGTAAAACGTACATCAAGTAGATTTTTTTAAATGAAATGTGAAAAACAATTATTCTTACCATTGGAAATGTTAAATAACAAATTTATAACATTTCAATTTGAAGTGAGGGATTGTAAGTTTGTGTGTTGATATACAAACGAATTATTTGAGTTGACATTTTCATTTGCAAATGCAGTATTTTTCATCTTAATTTCAAGATTTTAAATGTTAGTGACGATTATACACATCTGCAATATATGATAATATTAGTTAATAACAAAAAAGTATTAACTGTTAATTAGAAGAATTATAACACATTAGATAATTGTTTTATAAAAATTATAATGTACATAAAATATAACTGAAAATGATAATATTATAGTTCTCCTTTATATAAAAACTTATGGGGTAAATGAACCTTGGACATTTGAGGGTAGTGATAATTTTCTGTTATTCAAATATAATTTTAAATTTTATGTTTGTTCTAGCATCGGTATAATCAATTTTTCTGAATCCATAAAAGAATAGAAAATTATCTAATAACAAATATGATGGAGATTAAAAGCTATTTTATAAACTCAATGATTACAATTAGAAATCTTAATGTGGTAGAGGGAGATGCATAAAATGCCAAATTCAAATCTTATATCTTGAATTGTTATAATTTTTATTTAGATTTATAAATATTATAGATATACGAAAATTGTTACAGAAACATAAAAGTTTTAATTTTCATTTACACAAATACGAAGTTAAATTTTAGTTTTCATTTACCAAATCTATTAATCATCAAATTATTGTATGTTTAACTTATTATTAAATACACGTATTAATAAAAAAACAAATACACTCTTGTTCGTCAGACTTCAAATGTATCTGAAAGGGGAAAAAACATTATTCATATATTTCCCTAACCCTACCCTGGTGTCTCTTTTCTTGCATCCATCGAAGAACACCGACCTTCATCCTTGGCTCTTGCCCCAGCATCTCGGACGTCACAGATGACCACCGCCTCTATTTCACAGACGACCGTCGCAGGTGTTGCACAATACACTGTCGTTGCACATCACTCCCAGTATCATTTTTGCCTGCATAGAAACAATGAACTTCCTTCCTCAGCCCTCTTCAAATCGCTGACGCCTCCAGACCTCCGACCAAGTTCCACTCTGTCATTATCGCCACTCCGGTTAGCTTCTTGCGCTAATGCCCACATGTTTTTATCAATATTAAGAATCCTGAAATGGCATTTTTCTGCTGGAATTGATATTATGAAATCATTTTTTCTATTGAAATAGTTTTTAGGTTGCTCGATCTTATGATGTTCTGCTGAAAATTTGATATGAGACAAATATACAGGTTGAATTCTATTTGCTCACATAGATTTTTTGTGTTGAAATGTTTTTTAATGAATTGAAAACTTGATCACTCAACATTACTTAATTTGCATTTATCAAGATTAATTTTGCGGCAATTTTATTAAGATACATGTGAGGTACATTGAGTTCATGCTTTGATTCAAAATCTGATTCAAAAGGTAGCAAATCAAATTATGCTTGATACAAGGGTACATATGAGATACTTTGAGTTCATTGTTTGATTCATAAACTTCTTGTTAAATCTGTTTGTTTAATTATTTAGTTTTTCAGATAAATCCTATGACATATTTTGACAATGGTTTTTAATCATAAATTTAATATTATACTAAAATAATTACCCAATACAATGATTTTTTGTTTTTGGAGTTGGATGTATTTTCAGTACGCAGAAGTTCAAAATAAAAGGTTTCACTTAATAAATTAGTATATATTGTTAATTTATTTGGTTTTAACTACTTTGTTCTCATAGGTTAAGCCACAAGCTACTTTGTTCACTTAATATGTTTATCATTTTTTCTTTTGTTTTTGATATAGAATATAGAATATTGACAAAGTAGAATAAGTCAACTGATGGGTTTTATTCATACATGTAAGAATCGGATTGCAAAAGAAGGAGAAGAAGAAAGAAATAAAATTTAAAAAAAAAAAAAAAAAAAAAAAAAAAAAAAAAAAAAAAAACAGAATGAAAACTGTTAACTGATGATGATTAAATTTGTTCATCCTATTTTCTTTTGTTTTTAGAGTATAAAAAGTCAACTGATGGGTTGTATTCATACATGTAAAAATCGGATTGTAGAAGAAGTAGAAGAAGAAGGAATTCAAATTTAAAAAAAAAAAAAAAAAAAAAAAAAGAACGAAAACTGAAAGTGAAAGGCTGTCGAATTCTGTGGAAAGGGTTAATATTAAGATGATGATATTGATGATACTTGATGATATAAACGTATAAAATTTAGCCTATAAATCATAAATCTGTATCAAATTTAGTTTTATATTGATTGATATTGATTATATGCAGAGAAATAATTTGAATGGATTCGAATTCATCTAATTTTGGATGTTTACGATATTTAGGATATATTTTAGGATATAAATAAGATAAGATAACGAATTCTGCATATTTTGTTCCTATTTTTATGCATGTTAACTCCACCGAGAATTTTTTTTATGCTTATATGTAGAGTTTTAAATTTGAACAGCTGTTGTGATTATATGGGCGGGAAAAGAAGATTGTAGAATAATGGAGGAATGACACGTGACATTATCTAGTGCTAATAAAATGAACATGTAGCATTTAAGAGAGTGTTTTATTAGGTAGAGAGATTTTTGTCGAAGCAATCGAATTTGATGAAGAACAACCATATGGATATATATGGTATAAATATATTGATATATTGCATTTACATTTAATTTCATGGAGTCCTTCCTTTGTTAAAAAAATAATAATAAAATAAAATAAAATCGTTTGAAATAGAAAGGCGATTTGGATCTTGATTAATCTTTAATATTTTATAAATCTTTATTAGTCTTTATTTAACTATCATCATGCTAACTCAAAAGTAGGTATAAAATGATAATTTATGCATATACTTGATATCTTAACTTTTCATTAGGAAGTAGCAGGGACCCTTATTTCAAATTTGACATGGAAATAATAGGAGAAAAGTTAACTTTGTGTTATTATTATTATTTTTTTCAGATGCGTCCAGCGTAAAAAGAAGACATGTATGCAATCGAGAAATGTGAAGATTAAAACATGAAAGGTATTTTTTTACTGGTTGGCATAGCATGAGGAAAAAGGGTAGTGGAGTGATATTTGATAGTTCTTGAAGGGTGTTTAGTGAAAATATAAAATGACAAATTATACTACATGGTAATTGAAGTGCCGTGGAGTGTTCCACCGTCACTTCAAGACTTTAGGAGAGTAACAGAGTACATTTGCCGTTAAAAAAAAAACATATATATATATATATATATATATATATATATATATATATATATATATATATATATATATATATATATATGATAAAACTTCAAAAATGGTTTTTATGGTTTTCGAAAATATCAAGTTTAGTCCCTAAGTTCAAAAAATCTCACAGATGGTCCCTGTGGTTTCAACACTTTTAACAAATGGTCCTTTTCGCTAACTCCGTTAGCTTTTGGCCGTTAAATGAAGGATATTTCTATCTTTTCACTACCATAGGGACCATTTATGAAGTTTTGCCTTATTTAATAAAAAAATAAATAAGTAATTAATATTAAAGGGTCTCTCTCTCTCTCTCTCTCTCTCTCTCTCTCTCTCAACATTTAACGACCACCATCCGAAATATACACCACCACCGGAAAACACCCTCTTGAGCACCGCCAATGACCACAACCTTTATTTATATCCGACGAGTACCACAGACAGTTCCCATCCGGAAAATAGCACCACCTCCGCTGAAATTACTGATATGTTCTTCACCCGATTTCTCTCCATCTGTCTCTTACACACGTATTCACTTGATTTATCTTCATTTATTCACTTGTGGTAGTTGTTATCACCGACTCCACTGTCTCCATACACCGAAAACTCAACGGAGGAAAATTTATTGTTGTTTCTTCACCCTCGAGTACTGTAAACCTTAATTAATCACCGTATATGTCTCTTAACTAAGAAGAAAAACACACACCGCTGAAAACCACTAGAAAACAAAAGGCGATAGATGATGAACCCCAAAACGATTTTACCTAGAAAAAACACAAACCCCAAATCCATAAGATTTCCAGCCAGCAACCATTGGAAATTTGCACAACCATATCAGACAGATTCCTCCAAAAACCATCGTTTTGGACCCAGGTCACCGACCATCATTCATTTAGGGAACATCTTGGATTGCAATTAATGTCTCCAATCCCAGACAAAAAACCATTATTTTTAACACGAGAAAATTTAATCCTTATGAACCTAGATCTGGATTTTTGATTACATCATCACTCTAGCTTTAATCTCCCCCTCCTGATATGTTGAAGTTTGTCTTTAATGGAGATGGTGGCGGTGATTTTGGGGATAGTAGAGTATCTAATGGTGCGACGGTGGGTGAGAGAGAGGGGAGAGATCGAGGAAACGAGTACGAGAATGGCCAAATGGGTCTCATGATTTTTTTTAGAAGAGATAGAGGACCCTTTAATATTAAATATATATTTATATGAATAAGGCAAAAACTTCATAAATGGTCCCTGTGGTAGTGAAAAGACAGAAATATCTTTCATTTAACGGCTAAAAGCTAATGGAGTTAGCGAAAATGACCATTTGTTAAAAGTTTTGAAACCACAGGGACCATCTGTGAGGTTTTTTGAACTTAGAGACTAAACTTGATATTTTTGGAAACCACAGGGACCATTTTTGAAGTTTTGTCTATACATATATATATATATATATATATATATATATATATATATATATATATATATATATATATATATATATATATATATATATATATATAGGACTAGGTTATAATATGGATGCCATCTATTGTGTGGTTGTAGGGACAATTCTGAACCAAACGGAAAATATTATGATGCGAGGGTCTATGATACTACAGTGGAATAACATGTACTATATAATCACACAAATTTCATTATAAGAGTATTTTAGTCAATTAACCTATATTTAGAAAAGGAAAAAATTGGAATTTAAGGTATAATTAATTCTCTTAATATTAAAGATCTATTTTTTTTTTAATTTCAATTCAAACCTAGTTTTTAATCATAACCATATTTATTCTATTAGAATGACATTCTATTACAATAACATTCTATGAGAATATCACCCAAAAACTATTAAAAAATCTTGAATCTTAAAATATTTATGTTTTGTTAACTAAGAACGAATCTCAAAACATTTTAAATCATTCTCTAAGAATGACTCAAATTACATAGCATCTAAATGGTAAAATACTAATGTAAACGATATTTTCACAGAATCTGTTTACACTTTTATGAGAATGAACTTAAAATACAATTAGAAACTAAAATAAATCAAAAGAATAAAAAAAATCTTAGAAAAAACATTCTCTAAATTCTTGTAAGAATCTCACTCTCCTTGTTGTAATGGTTTCTTCTACCGGAATCCAAAATACACTTCATCTTTTACCCAAATTCAAAATGTGTTTGATCTTTTTTTTTCAATCCAAAAAGCACTAGAGAAATCATTTTGTAAGTTCACTTGATTCCTAACCATAGAAAAAGTTCACATCACCTGATCTTCTTAAGAACCCTGAATAAGTAAACCAATTTGCTTGTAACTGAAGACTAAACCTAAAGAAATACAAAGATATTTTAACAGAATATATTTATACAAAGACATTACCTTACATACCCAATCATTTTCCCTATTTAAATAACAGTCTTTTTAGGTAAGACATGGACCAAGCGTGTAACAAAAACAAACACTAGGGACCAAGTGTGTAATAAAAACAAACAGTAGGGACCTTTCGAGTTAAAAAATTAAATTATGGACCAAGCGTGCAAATTACCCCAACCATATGGACTATTTGTGTAATTTACTTATTTTTTTTTCTCAAAGTTATATGATTTTATGATTCCTTTTAATTTTGGTAGCACTCGATGGAACATTGTTGAGATGTTGGGAGGTGTACTGGAATAATAGAACCAATAATGCGGATTATTGGACCTTTTTCTGGCATACAACCCTGAAAGAACTGAAAGAACACACTTCTGAGGTGATCTCTTAGAAAAACTAGTTTTTTTTTATAAAGCTTTGATTTGTGTTTCTAAAATCTCATATTTCTTATATAATCTTACATAATTGTCAGGGTAAAGCCTTAACTATTACAACACCAAATCAGCAACCCTTGGTTGTTGATCAATCATATACCAGCTTTCAAAGGTGATTTGTTATGCATATTTGAGGATAAAATTGTTGTAAAAAATTGATGGATTTAACGATTCTTGTTGTAGTCATAACTGACAATGAGATGATATTGATTTTAATTATTCACAGATTGCATTTACCCCTTCGACAAGTTGGTGATATGCATTCAGGTGTAAGAACATTTCTCGACAAAGGTTTGTATAAATTAGAGTTTCATTTATACTTTTTTTTCATCGTGTATTGCATGGCAAATGGGGCCTAAGTAACTTAATGGTACTCTTAACTACATTGTGGTTGCCAATTAGAGTTTCATTTATATTTTTATTTTTTCATCTTGAGCATATTTGGTGCACGTTGCATATTATCATACACCTAATGATTTATGAATTGATCATGGTAATTTTACTTTCCAGGTATGATCCACCCTGACCCTGTAAAACGAATTTTATATCAGATGTGAGTCTTTTGGTTTTATACGTGATGATTTATGCATAATACTTTGTTTTATTGCTAAAGACGAGATTTTGACGCGATTCAATATATTTTATATTTGTAAGCATATGTTTGTGTGATTTTCTTTTTGACAAGCTCAAAAGATACTTTTACGATTATTACTTTGAAAGATGTGGGGGTGAATTTATTAGTGGTATTTTTGTCGAAGCAACAAAATTTGATGAATAGAATTTGGTTCGTATGGTTAAAAGTAACAACTGATTGTTTCAAATTTATGTTAGGAAATAATAGAAGAAATGTTAACTTTTTTTTAGATGCATCTAGAGTAAAAAGAAGACATCTATGCAATGGTGTAATGTGAATATCGAAAAAGGGTTCTGGAAGGGTGTTTCGTGAAAATATAAAATGACAAATTATGCAACATCCTAATTTGAAGTATCGGTGGACTGTTTCCAGCGTCACTTCAAACCCTTTAGCTTTTTTAAAGTTGAAGTTTTTAGTCTTCTATTTTTAAAATGCCACTTTTAGTCCTTTCAAAAGAAACTTGAACACAAGAAATCACAACATCAATAGTTTTTATTTATTAAGAACCAGAAGGTTTTCAAGTATACTTACATCACAAAACCTCACTACAAATCTCTCCTTACATTACAGAACAACCTCACTACAGAATCACTCACCTAATATACACTCATACATTACAATATGAATAAGAACAAGATCAAAAGTAAGGCTAGAACTCTAAGAAACAGATGAAGATGAGATCAACTGGAAGAAGATAGACTCGTATCTCTCTCACTCTCTTATACATAACCAATATATATGACTGAAAATCTATACGGGTCACCAAGTATCAATATGGATCGTATATGACTCGCGTGTTAAACCACTTTACTATCGCATTATTTCAGTTCAATACATTCACCAACTTTTCAAGGTACATCCTTTTGTACAAAACAATAATATACACAAGCAATATACATATATAAACAAATGAATAATAACAAATAATAAAAAGGATACTTAAAAGGATATAACAAATTATAAGTTTGTAACATTAACTCCTTATAATTCAACACCCCTCCTCAAACTTATAATTCAAATAAGTTCAATACTTATTCTGAAATGGATCAATAAGACCCAAACCTTTACAAATCCCGTCATGCTGAGCAACTCCCAAAGGTTTAGTAAAAATGTCTGCCATATTAAAATCTGAACTTACCTTATGAACTTCAGTTACACCTTTTGATACCCTATCTCTTATAAAATGAGTATCAACATCAAAATGTTTTGTTTTCTCATGAAAAACTAGATTATGTACAAGTTTTATTGCTGACTCATTGTCACAGAAAATTGAAACAGGAGTTAAATCTTTTAACCCAACATCAAACAGTATTTTTAAAATCCACACAATTTCACAAGAAATAAACACAAAGTTCTCTATATTCTGATTCAGTAGAAGATCTAGAAACAGTTTCTTGTTTCGTACTTTTCCAAGATACAATAGTATTTCCAAGAAATACAACATACCCTCTAACAGACCTTCTAGATACTAAACACTTAGCCCAATCAGCATCAACAAAACCTTTTAAATTTAGATTTCCTTTTGTAATTGAAAAACCCTTTCCAGGATTTAACTTCAAATATCTAAGTAATCTTATAGCAATATTAAAATGAGATTTTCTTGGTGAATGCATAAACTGACTCAATACTTGAACATCATATGAAATATCTGGATGAGTAATAGTCAAATAAATGAGTTTTCCAACCAACTTTTGATAAAGAATAACATTTTGTACCAATGTATCGTTAGCATCAATTCCTTCTCCTCTAACTACAAATTACATTCTAAAGGAATTTTCACAGGTTTACAACCTAGCATGCCAAACTCATGTAATAATTCCATACAATATTTTCTCTGACTTAAACAAACACCTTTATTAATATCTATAACTTCAATTCCCAAGAAATACTTCAATTTTACCAAATCTTTGATTAAAAATTTGGACTTTAAAAAACTTTTGACTTTATTGATTTCTTTATCACAATTACCACTCAAAATTATGTCATCAACATATACAAGTAACACAACAATATTACCATTAGAAGTTTTTACAAATAATGAAAAATCATTCACACTTTGAACAAAACCAAACTCAAGTAAAAAACCACATAACTTTTCATTCCACTTCCTTGGAGCCTGCTTTAGTCCATATAATGATTTCAGTAACTTACAAACTTTGTTACCATCATTTTTATTATTGTAACCAAGTGGTAATGTCATATAAACATCCTCATCCAATTGACCATAAAGAAAGGCATTATTTATATGTAGTTGAAACAAATTCCAATCAAAATTTATTGCAAGAGAAATAACAATTATGATAGAGACCATTTTTGCAACAGGTGAAAATGTTTCATCAAAATCTATACCTTCTCTTTGATTATATCCCTTAGCTACAAGCCTTGTCTTAAATCTCTCTATTTCACCATTAGATTTGTACTTTATTTTATAGACCCACTTACAACCAATGGGTTTCCTATCAGCAGGTAAATCACAAATTTCCCAAGTATTATTTCTATATAAAGCTTCAATTTCTTTATTCATAGCATTTATCCAGTGAATATCTAAAGATGCTTGATAATAAGATTGTAGTTCAATAGATTTATTTAAATTTGTTGCAAAACATTTATTATCTTGACTAAGAAAAGAGTAATTAATAGATATTTCAATCCCATATTTATACATTCCTTCTATGACAAAATCATTGAATTTTTGAGGAAATCTAGACTCACGATTAGATTTTCTAATACCTAGCAACTGAGAATCAGAAGTTACAATATTATTATCTAAATTTTCCTCATAACTATTAGTGGGAATAGATACAACAATCTTAGGTTGTGAACCAGATGTTTCACAACCATGAGTACCTTCCTGATTAGATGTTGTTGCATCTAAACTAGAACTACCATCCACATCAAAATCAGTTGCACTATATGGTTGATCAAAAATTGTATCACCATCCTGATTACTACACCCTAACTCACCACTATTTTGATTATCATCAAAATTTTCAGAAAACAACAGCTCATCATTGGAAAATGGATCCCAATGACCCTTATTATTAAAAAAAGTTGTCTCAAGAAATTGAGACACTTCATTTGATTTAGAAGCCAACTTAAAAGGAAAGACGGATTCATAAAATTTCACATCCCTGGAAAAGAAACAAAAACCATTATCAAGACTAAATAATTTGTAACCTTTTTTTAACATTAGAATACCCAATAAGAATACATTTCTCAGAACGCTCAGAGAATTTATCATTATTGTTTAACTTTGTAGCAAAGGCTAAACATCCAAAAACACGAATTTTGTCATAAACAGGAACATGATTATAGATTAATTCAAAAGGATTTTTACCATTTAAAACAGAAGAAGGTGTTCTATTTATTAAAAAAACTACAATTAAAATAGAATCTCCCCAAAAAAATTTAGGCAAGCCAGCTTGAAACAACAAAGATTTAGCAACATTCAATAAATGCCTATGCTTCCGCTCTACCACTCCATTTTGTTGTGGAGTGTGAACACAAGAAGTCTGATGAACAACTCCTTTGGCTTTAAGAAAACTATTCATTTTTAGATTAACAAATTATGTTTCATTATCAGCTCTAATAGCCTTTAGACTAACATTAAATTGATTTTCCAATATCATAACAAACTCATGAAAACAGGTAAACACTTTATCTTTAGACTTCATCAAATAAACCCATTTAGCTCTAGTGAAATCATCTACAATTGTAAGAAAAAATTTAAAGCCACCAATAGCAGCAACTTTATAGGGACCCCAAACATCTAAATGAACAAGTTCTCCCAGACAATATGACTTATATTCACTCAAAGGAAAAGGTTCCCTAGTTTGCTTAGCCTTATGGAAAACCTCACATGGCATAACTGATTCATTATCAAAATTTAAGACTGGTTTTAAAGTACTTAGAGCTTTATCAGTTGGATGTCCCATTCTATTATGCCATGTTAACTTTGATACAAAACACTTATGACAATTAATCACATAATTTGACCTACCTAACAATTGATTTTCCAAATAATAAAGACCTCCAAATTCTTTACCAGTCATCACAGTCTCCATTGACAGTGAATCCTGAACATAACAATTATTTTCATCAAAAACAACTCTACACTTATTTTCTTTACATATCTTGTGAACAGATAAAAGATTAACATGAAAATCAGGAATAACAAATACATCTGACATACCAATAGAATCAGAAAGACTAATGTTTCCAATCTTATCTATTTTAGCAGTTGAACCATTAGGGTGATCAAATCTTAGATTAAGTTGGGAAACATCCACAACATCTGAAAGTTGTGAATCAGTAGCAGTCATATGTTGACTAGCTCCTAAATCAACAACCCATTTTCCTTTATTTAGAAAAACATTATTACAAGATATACCTACCATATTAGGATTAACAGATACACTTTCTCACAATTCTTTTTCATGAAGAAGAGACACCAACTTTGTGTATTGATCACTTGTTAAAAAATGATGACCAGACTTATCAGAAGAAACAACTGAAGCATTAGCATTAGTACTTTCAATAACATGTGAAGAAGTACCAGACACTGCTGGTGACTTATTAAACTCAGACTTGGGTTTAAAATCCTTAGAATACCCAATAAGCTTATAACATTTCTCAATAGAATGACCTTTTATTCCACAATTCTTACATCTTAAATTCTGGTTTCTACCTTTAAATTTCTTGTTATCAGTAGTTTTACCAGCAAAAGCAGAAGAATTTTGAATTTTAGTAGATAACACAGAAACACTTCCATTGTTTCTGATTAGACTCTCCTCTGGATACAATTGAAAAAGCAGTTTTAACATCAGGTAAAGGTTCCATTATAAGAATATGACTTTTAACTGGGTTATATGAATCATCCAGACCATTGAGAAATTGCATAAGTTTCATGAGCTTTGAATGATTTTTAGTATGAGTAGCAGCTTCACAAGTGCAATCAGGATACTTTGTTAAGCAATCAAACTCTTTCCATAAACCATCCAACTTATTAAAATAATCTGATACAGACATACTCCCTTGTATGAGACCATTAATTTGTTGATGAATGTTAAAAACAAGAGAACCATCAGCCTTAAAATAAGTTTCATAAAGTTTATTCCAAACATCTAAAGAAAACTCAGAACAAGCATGTCCAACGTAAATAGATTCAGAAAGCGAGTTAAGAATCAAAGAACATACAATAGCATTAACTCTGTCCCACTTCAGAGATTTAATAGCATCCTTATTATCTTTTAATTCAGTACCTTCTATAAAACCTTGTTTGTTCCTGTCTTTTTGAGCCCTAGTCATTGAACTTTTCCATACCCTAAAGTTTTCAGTACCAAGTAATTTGAAATTTATAATAGTTGTCATATAATGATCTAAAGGATGCAAA